GTGGTGTGGGGTGTAGGAAAGTTTGGGGGTTTAGAGGTTGTACATATTGAGAGATAGAAGGGGCTGGGGAAATTTAGGGAGGTTGAGGAATTTGAAGGAGGTTGGGAGTTTAGGGACCTAGGGGAGTTTGGGGTTTTTTAAGAGGTTGGAGAAATTAGGAAGCTTAAGGTAATGGGGGGCAGTTTAAGGATTTGGGGGGCAGAGGAAATCGTTTTGTTGCTGTTGGTAGACACAGTCTGGCTATGTGGCCCAGGCTGGTCTCCAACTCTGATCCTCCTGCCTCAGCCTTCTGAGCATCTGCGATGACAGTCGTGCATCACTAGGACGGTCAGCAGAGGAAGTTTTGAGGTTTAGGCAATTGGAGATTGAGGAGTTTGGGGGATCTGAGGACTGGGGAAGTTTGGGGACCCGCAGGAGTTTGGGTGGGGATTTAGGGAACAATGAGAGAATTGGGGGAGCCAGCAGATTGAGAAACATTTATGGTATTAGAGAGTCACGGGTTTGGGGGAGCTGGGAATAGATGTCAGGGGTTCGAGGGAATTTGGAGTGGCAAGATTGGAGGAGAACTTCCAGCCCCCCTCCCCGTACCCCCTCGACCAGCTGGGGGTCCTGGAACCCGCAGACTGGCAGAGCAGCGGGGCCCCAAGCACGGGAATGGATGAGCCTGGTGGCCAGCACACAGACTGCAGCCCGACCGCGGCACTCGGGCCCTTGCTTACCTCTCGTGTCTCAGTAAGCGCTGGATCTGCGGCGATGGCGGCAGGGCCTGAGCGGTAGAGGATAAATGTCCACTCGAGGGGCGGGGGGGGGCGGCGCGGGAAACGCTCCCTGAATACATTCCCCAGCCCCCCACCATCAGCGCAGAAGCCAAGGGGCGGGCCGAGGGCTGCCGAAAGGAGATACACCCTCCTCCTCTCCCTCCTCCCGGTGGCCCGGGCCACCCCCTCCCCCTCTCCACGTAGAGCCCCATTCCTTCCAAGCTACCTCAATGGAGAGCTTAAGGCAGGATTCCCTCAGTCGACTTCCCTGGTCTCGAATCTCTTGGATCACTCACATCCCCCAAACTCCCCATGGCTGAAGTCCAAATTAGTTCATCTCTTCAGTATTTACTGTCCATCTACCATATGCCAAGCACACAGAAATCTCTTCTCATTTAAAAAAAAAAAATTTTAAGGAATCATTTAATTGAGACCAGCAGTTGGCATAATGGCTATGTCGCTGGACTCCCATGTAGTCGACCAGGATTCGGTCCGGTGGCTTAAACTCACACTGGGTACGCACGCATGTGTGTGTGTGTGTGTGTGTGTGTGTGCCCTGGGACCTAAAAACCTGGAGGGCTCTAGAGAGGGGATCGTACATGAGCAACCCCTGTGGAGGTCTCTCTGTCTTGTGTGTGCGTGTGTGTACTCATGACGTGCCCCTGATAGAAAAACCCTCTCAAAAAAAAAAAAAGAATTATTTAATTGTATTTATTTAATTTTGCTATAGAGCACATGCACTCACCATAGAGAGAAAGTAAGAAAACAAGCTGCCAGGCCCAGAACTCGAGCCACTGTTAGCCATGTGGGAGTCCAGCGCCCTAACCACCACACCACCTGCCAACCCCAAAATTTGTTCTTTATTTCTGATAGTGTGTGTGTGTGTGTGTATGCATGCACATGTGTATGAGAGAGAGGAGCATCTTCTACAGGGTCTGATCACACTGTGAACCCCTCCCTCCAGTCCTCCAGTCCATTGGATTTGGGGCACTCAGGCACATGCTCAGCATATTTCTGCCTGACCAGGCCGGGGATTGGAACTGAGGTTGCCATGTGGGATCCAGCTTCCCTTGAGCAGCACATTACTGTTGTACTATGGAGACAGCACAGAAATCCCTTTCTTAGTATGTTTGACATACCAAGAGATGGCAGAGAGAAAACAAGGAGAACAATGGAAGGAGATAAGGTAGATAAATGCGGTGGAATACAACGTGTGGCGTCTGAGGCACAGAGAGGTTAAGTAACTTATCCAAAGTCACAGAGTTAAAAAGTTACAGAACTGAGATGGAATTCAGGTGGCCAGGAGCCAGTGCCTGGATCTTAGCCCTGCTCAGAAAATGCAGACAAATAGCCAGCATTCATATAGCACTGACTGGGTACCAGGCCCTCAGCATAATTTATTTCACAGAGCTCACAACAAGCCTCTGAGGTGGGGATTATTCCCATTTTACAGATGAGGAAATAAGAGGTGTAGAGGGAACTGAACTTTCCCAGGATCACAGGGCATAGCTGGGATTCCAGCCTAGGCTAACTGGCTTTGGGATCCTAAGTAACCCAGGCGTGGCATAATCCCAACAAACAGGGAATGATGCGGTAAATTAATGAGCATTGGGAGGGGGGTTGAATGGTGGTGAAAGAAGCCTAGTGAGTCAGTAGAGAAGCAATCTCCACCCCATCCTGCCCTGCCCCTTCCTCACCAACCATCCCACACCCCCGGTGGGGGGTGAGTGAGGCAATCCTGTCTACCAGATTCACGCTGATCCTGATTCTTCCTTGGGGTCACG